AATAATGTTCTTTTTAGCAACATCATATGACCCCTTTAAACAACAACGTATCATTGTTTGAAGAAAAATTTTTTTTTTAAACTAAAGCACATAGAATTAGTGAAAACAGTTAAATTGATGAGGTAAAAGAGTTTTTGTATTTTGACAAAAATATTCTTTAAATTTAGTCTATATTTTGTCACACCATACTCATTGTGAAGAAAATAACATTCATCTGGTTACAAAAATTATTTTTCTCCATTGATGACCTTAGCTGTGTATTTTGTGTATTTAATCAGCGAAACTACCACTGAAATAAATGGGAATGTTAACGGATAGTTTTCTATCCTAACACTGGTGAGGGCAGTGTCAAAAATACAGAGAAATTAGTGCCAAACGAGTCATTCATGCTGAAATAACTGATATCCCAAATGCTAAAAGGAAAAAGTGAGCTTAAAAAAAGAAATGCATTTTCTGTTGTGTATTTACACACAAGCACACAGAGGTTTGGTTACAGACTGACAAACAGCACTTTCAGAATAGCTCTAGTCTAATGGCAACACTGCTGACATAAATGAGCCAAAAGGCATCAGTAAACAAACGTAACAAACAAAATGCTATGAACAGTAATAAGCAAATCTTTATTCACTCCCTTATTCAAATATACAGAAATATAGTGTTGTTTGTGCATGTCAACATCCTGCCGTGGATGTGGCATTTTACAGCATTTGCCAAAAACAAATTAAAGCTGTAAATATGGGCCAGCTGGAAACGCACACATTTATGAATAAAATTATAATTTTAATATTATTTGCTTAATACTCTTTGACTTTTGGAATGTATTTTAGAAAACAGTCAAAGCCACAAATAAATGGGGGTTCAATTTGGGGAAACCATGGTGCCAACACGGGGATATAAATACTGTACCAAATGCAACAGCCTAGACGTGTGCCAGTTTAAGGAAAAGGAGGACTTTTCAGAGGAAGAAAAAGGGTTTATGTGGAGCAGTGGTTTGTAACAGGTTTTGGTTCAGGCCCCAGACTTTACACTGGACATCAAACAAGGATTCAACCTGTACCAACCTTGTAACCGGTATTATATCTTCCTTTACCTTGTGTAATCAGTTTTTTTTATTGATAATTTTGTAATTTATGGTTTCTAGGATAAGCATCTCACTTAATCAGTCTATGATCTGTATGTCTATTAACATTAACACATAACAAATGCATGATTTATGAATTTGCATTGTACTTTATGGATTTCCTTTCTTTTTGCGACATCAAACCAGACCACTTGCGTATTGTGTCATACAATGTGTTCATACCTCACAACGGAAGGGCTTCTCTCCTGAATGCTGCAGTGAATGCACTTTCAGTGACATGCTGCGCTTAAAAGACTTTCCACAGGTTTCACAGGTAAACGGCATGTCCTTTGTGTGAGCTAGAGACAAACAGAAGACCTGTTGTATTAGATATAAAAAATATTTACAAAAATGTGAGGGGTGTACTCACTTCTGTGAGATACTGTATGTTTCACATGCATTTTGTGTCTGTATAGACATTTAAAAAAATATATCTCGATATAAAGGGTTTACTCGCACAGTGCTGAAGTGTGTCTGTGCACGTTTACTGTACGTACCAACCATGTGCTTACGGACATGAGCCATGGTGTAGAATTTCTTCTCACAAATCTCACAGGCAAATTTCTTCTCGGCAAAGCCATGGACAATCTTAATATGCTCGTGGAGGGACCACAGCTTCTTAAAGGACTTACTACATGACACACACTGGGGCACAAAAAACATACACACTGTTATACAGTACAAGAATAACATATTTAGTGGTATATCAACTCTCAGACCCCTTTTCTGAGTCTCAATGGCCCTCGAAACATGAATGAAGTCTCCCTCTGCTGGTCAGGACTGATTTTAACATTCCTAACCTTTAATGTACTTCATATTTCAAATCAGATGTATGCTTCAGTTATCAATTTATTTGAGAATTATATCATTTGGCTGATATTGGACATTCAATTGCACGTTAGTTTAACCTGTTTTTACCTTTGCCATCACCAAACAAATACCTTTGCCACTGAAAACAGTAATAATTTAATAACACTGCTAAATGTAATCTTTAGCAAATTAATATAAAAATCATTTGAAAAATTAATATGCATCCTTCATACTGTACATTATTAAGTAGTAATGCCTAAATTCAATGCTTAATTTATGATTATTATTATTTTTTTTTATTTATTTTTTTTTTAATCTACACTTTCTGCATTTAGCAGACAATTTTATCCAAATCTACAAACAATAAAGGAACAATCTACTGCTTTGTTGGTATTTTACGTTACATAATTTAAATATTGGTCATTTATCAGCCATAACATGAAAACAATTATTGGCATAAGCAATAATTTTAATATCAGTGCATCTCTAATTACAATAATCATTATTGAAGTACAAAGTCATATACTTTTAATTTTACTTAAGCATTTAATATGGAAAAGAAAATGAAACCTTTTTAGCTGTAGTCAATGTTAATTTAAAGGGGTCATATGATGCTTTTTTAAAGATCATTATTTTGTGGCAGAGTCTTAACTTTGATAAAGAATATCTCTTTGGTTTTGAGACTTTAGTCTTTGCAACTTCAGGGATCTTATCTATTCACGAACAGCTTGTAACACTCCAAAGAGAAAGGAAAACTTGAAATCGCATCATATGACCCCTTTAATATTATATTTTGTGTCGCACATACACTAACATTCACATGTTTGGGGTTGGTAAGATTTTTTAATGCTTTTGAAAAAAAGAGTCTTATGCTCACCATGGCTTCATTTATTTGACCAAAAATACTATAAAAACATTAATACTGTGAAATATTATTACAATTTGAAAACAAAATTATTCTTGTGATGACAACACTGAAATTGCAGCCTTTCAAAAAAAAAACATGGCAGTAAATTTCAGAACTCAAAACTCTCATTAGTCTAAAAACAGCGTATATTGAAGGCAGTTTGCCAAACCCACAGCTTGTGGAATGTGCCACTCTATGATGTAATAGTGTGGATAAACCCCACCTCCACAGAGGAAGATCAATGCTTGCTTCTACATCACTGCTTTAGCCCCGCCCTCTGATTCACGCCTGAAGTGTTAACGAGAGAGGCAAACACAGGTCTACGCAGAAGGCAAACGATAACATTTATTTGATGGACTTTATTTTTAATGAAGTTCCAGACCGCAACAGTACGAATTTTTGTTCACTTTATTTTACGGTGGATTTGTTTACAAACAAGGCACAATTCGACAGGATTTTCAGAAAGACTGAAACTAAAAGATGATGCTGTGCCATGATCACTATTGCTTTGTTTCTTCTTACAGTTCATTTGATATGCATTTATGCAGTTATTTATGCAATTTTGACCTAAATCACAGCAGCGTCCATCTATGAGGAAAGTACACTGTCAAACACACAACTATTAGCCAATCATAGCAGTGGGCGTTTACTTCTGAGTCTACAATCCGCCACGTCTATTCAAATGGAGTGTTCAGATGAGGGGGTTAAAAACAGGACAGAATAGTGCTGGGCGGTATGACCAAAAATTTACATCACGGTATTTTTCTAAATTATACCGGTTTCACGGTACATGACGGTATTTTTTTTTTCATGCATGACCAGGTGTTAACCACATTTTCTACTAATTGAGAGAGGAAATACTGCAGTATATTGACTTAGAATGCCCTATTTTACTGTCATGGTGAGTGAATATTGTCAAAAAATACCACACTAAATAGTGACTAAACACAACCCCTTTTAATACATGTTAACCAGGAGTCACTATCATTTATAAATCGCGGCATCGTCTGATAAAATCAACATGCATCTACACTAAAGAGCGGCTATGCGGTTGTTTTGGCTATATTACTTTTTTGTCTCATGCTTATCCAAAAAAGTCGCTAGGTTTGTCAGTATGAATATTCTATGGAAAAAATCTGCTAAAAGGGTCTGAAAGTTGCTCAATCTAGTGCTAAACTCGTGTGTGTGAGAAGCGGGATCTGATGGCAGGGGGCGGTGGATATTTGTGGCGGTCAATGTGGATATTGTGGTCTGGAGTTCTTCTGTGTCATCACGTTCTATTAGTTCTACAGCTTCAGTTTCGGAACTTTCACGCTTAGTAACACATACAGCTGTTCCCTCACCACAGTGCAACAGTGAAAAGGGACCCCTTTCAAACAGTGTCGCGTTCTGAACGTTGTTTAAGTGACATACACCGGTATTGCGGTATTTTAAAAATTCATATCATAAAAAAAATAAACACCGGTATTCGGTATGAACCGGTATACCACCCAGCACTAGGACAGAAAATACCCTATAATCTCTAAATTATGTTTTTGATGTAAATATATTGATAACATTATAAGTGGACCTCAGGGAACAGTACAAAATAACAAAAAAAAGACAGTTTATGACCCCTTTAAATATGGCCTCTGCTTGGACTAATGTCTATTAACAATACTTGTACTTCACCAAGCATGTGGCTTTTCAATACAAGTTTGGGAAGATGCTCTCACCTGGATATTCTTCTCGCAGTCTGTCTGCTGGTGAAGAGCCAGTTCACTCTCCAGCACGAACTTCTTCCCGCACTTGTCGCAGATCTGCATGCGTCTGTGCGTCACATTCATGTGCTTCTCCAGGTACCAGCGGGTGTTGAACACACGTGGACATTTTTCACACGCTAGCGTCTCTTTCTCCTCACCCTCGGCCCCTCCTCCTCCTCCCGCGTTTGTTGCTCCTGAGGTGGAGGAGGCGGAGCTTTTGGGCTCCTTGGCAGGTCTACGCTTTTGGGGCGGGCCCTCTGCATTCTTTCTCCGCCCCCTGGTCATAACGCTGGCAGTCGCAGTGGTTACGCTCCCAGTTGATGAAGGGGCTACGCGGCGACTCTTTCGCCGTGGCGGAGCAGTGGCTCGACCCCTGTGCGTCCGTTGCGCTCTTGTTTGCCGACTGTGGTTTTCTTCTTCCTCATCATCTTGATCCTCCTCATCCAGATCCTCCTCAGCACTGTAGTCATCTTCCTCCTCCTCCTCCTCTTCTTCTTCCTCCTCCTCCTCCTCCTCACTATTGCTCTTGTCGTCTTCTGCGGTGTTTGCATTTGCTGCGTCGTCTCCTTTGGACACATGCAGGGTCTGGTTATTGAGGTTGACCTCTACAATGATCTGTCCTCGTTTGAATTCGTCCTCCGCCCCGGCTCCCTCTTCGGCTTCAGAATCTTCCGACGTCCCACAGTCTCCGCTCTTCGTCACAGCTGCTCCGGACCCCTCCCGGTAAAACGGTTGAGTCGGGGCAGGATGGGGATTTAGGTCTGAAGGCATCTGTGACTCGGGCACCGTAGCCATCATGTTGTCAATGACCACCGAGTACGGTTTGGCCACAGTTTCTCGCTTGTACAGCTTTGCTGACAGCTCGGCATCAGGGGCAAAGGTGTTGTGGAAGTACATTTGGGAGGGTTGAGTCATTTGCCCCTCCTCTTGGGACATCGCCTCCGGGCCGGACACCTCCTCCTTCAGTGTCTGGCAGGACTTCATCAGCACCCGATCGCTCGGCTAAATTGGAGTGTTTCCCTCTTTATGTTTGAGAACAACTACTGTTTCCTGTCAAGGACGATACAGGAGGCAATGTACCCCTCCTCTCGAATGAATGAGAGGAGGGCAAGAGAGTGTAAAGGAGGAGAGATGAAGAGAGACACCTTAGCCTAGCCCAAACCGAGCCTCCATTACTTTCACTAGGGCATGAAAGAGAAAGAAAAGGGTAAGAGAAAAGTGAGACAGGAAGACAAAGAAAATGAATAAGACAAATGTTTTAGAGCTGCATTATTAATTGAACTAAAACCAAAGTTGAGATATGGCTTAGTGTGATTCTCAAATTACAAAGGCTGTGATTTAACTGAATGAATAAATGCAATGCGTTTTTCTAGAGTGAAGCGCGGCACTGCATTCTTTTACACACGAGCAGCTCATGATCCGGTGATTTCAGTGTCTCAGAGTGGCTTGTTTCGAATCTTTGCATCTGCTCTGTGTTCGGTAGCTTATAAAGTGCATTAGAAAACACAATATACACTAATAATCTTTCCAAACTTGGAATGAAAAGAGCTTATAAAGCGGTTGCCGTCAACAAAAAAAATATAAGCTTTATTGTCTCCATACAGTTTTCCACCAAGATAAAAGCTTGCTGGTTTAACATGTAAAAATTAAGATATTATTGTAATTTTACAGTTGTACTGAAAAGAATTAGACATTTTCTTAACTCTTTTTCTCTCTCGGAATTTTCCAGGTTTCCGCGTTACACGCTAGGGGGCGATATTACACATCTCCTGAATGAGTCTAGAAAGTGCCGATCAAAAACACAGACCAGGAAGACGCAGAAACGAGCGATCTCATATGTAAGCATAAGCATAAGAAAAATAATGCCATCATCAACACTAACCGCATATAAAAGCAATCTGCCTAATGTTAGAGTAAAATGTCGATCCAGGAAGTGGTAAAGGCCTGTGCAAGCTTTGTGAGTGCTGATGGAAGCCATCTACTGCATCTTTGCTTTGAAAATATTACTGAATATTGTCCAGATGTAGTATTTGGTAAAAATGTGATTCTCAGCTTTTTGCTCAAAATGTTGCTTTTCTAATGAAACCTACCTACATTCAAGGTCAAGGTCAAGGTCAGTTTATTTATATAGCACATTTAAAAACTAGTGTATGCCAAAGTGCTGTACATATACAAATAAAGTAAATATAGAGATTAAGAGAATAAAAAGAAATTACTCAAAAACACAATCAATACAAAACACATTAACATACACAAACATACATTTCATCCAAAAGCCAAGGAATACAGATAAGTCTTCAGGCGGGATTTAAAAACAGGAAGGGAAGGCGCAGATCTAATGTCCAGAGGTATGCTGTTCCATAGTCGAGGACCGGCTACAGAAAAAGCCTGATCCCCCTTAAATTTCGAACGAGAGCGAGGTATATGCAAGAAAAGTTTATCAGAGGATCTGAGAGAGTGAGAGGATTGCTGATAGCTGAGAAGTTCAGACAAGTATGATGGGGCTAGATCATTTAATGCTTTATACACAAATAATGAAAATTCAAGTGTTGATAAAAAAAAAACAATGCTTGAACCTAGAATAAAACAGATTTTTTTTGTTTGAAAGTAGAGGGTTTGATCTTTATTTTGATGTACGGCATGTTCAGATATTCATACAACAAAATATTCTGGGGGCCAAGAAATTTTAGTGAAAATCAGTAAAAACGCTGGCGGTGGCTGGCAACTTTTTTCAAAAACGCTGGCGGGAAAAGAGTTAATATAGAACGGTGATTAAACTGAACAGTTTTAATGCACAATTGGCCTTGTTACACACACACACATTCAGTGGTGTTCAGTACAGTCACGTTGTACATCTGTTATTAAAGAACCTTGGAAAAGTTTACAGTGCCCCTATTATGGGTAATGAAAGGGAGTTAAAGGGATAGTTCACCCAAAAATGAAAATTTTGTCATTAATTACTCTCCCTCAAGTAATTAAAAAAAACAAACAAACAAAAAAGAAAACAAAGAAAACAAAAACAATTATTTTATTCACAATTTCTTCTCTTCTGTGTCAGTGTTTGACACGCGTTCACTACAATACCATGACACATGCGTGTGCATTCCTCTGCTTGCAAACAAGACGCAGCACATCCGGTTTCTACATCAGAACGCCGGCTCCTGCATCAGCAGCACCACACGCATGCGTGGTTCTCTCGTGAACGTGTGCCGTAGACTGACAGGGAAGAGAAAAAATTGTTGAATAAAGTTGTTATTTTTGTTTTCTGTGTGCACAAAAAGCTTCAAAAGAATTCAAAAAAATTCAAAAAAATTACGGTTGAACCACTGATGTAACATGGACTATTTTAACAATGTCCTTACTACCTTTCTGGGCCTTGAACGTGATAGTTGCTGTCGATGGAGCATCAGAAAGCTCCCGGATTTCATCAAAAATATCCTAATTTGTGTTCTGAAGATGAATGAAGGTCTTACAGGTTTGGAACGACATGAGGGCGAGCAATTAATGACAGAATTTCCATTTTTGGATGATTTATCCCTTTAAATACTATAAATCTGAAATACTATTTGTATTTGTTTTGTTTAATATTTTAATTTAATACAAAATAACACTGATAAGAACAAAATAATAAGTATTATTGTTATTATAATTTTTTAATGGTCACACTGATATATTACATTTTTTGTCTACAAATTGAACAGCCTTAAAAACAAGCATGGCAAACCTTTCCACAACTTATGTAGTCTTAAAACTACTCACATCCAAATGAAACTCGTCTTGGCTTTAGATCCAAACTTCAGTCTCTCAACAGCATCTCGGTTTCAACTTGGAAAGACAATAGCGGCACCTCATCTGCAAATCTCTGCTGATTCAGACACAAAAGCCGCCTCCTCTCTGTCAGTGATGTGACGGCGTCTCCGTGCCGTTAAACTCAGCGCTTAGATCTCGTAGTCATTACCAGCTGCTCCGAATCAGCACCCTGCAGCCAGATGTTACCTGAAAGAGAGCAAGAAACAATGTGAAAGGTTGCGAAAGGAATGAAAGAAAATTGAAAGCAATTATATCAGGTGTCACCCAAGACATCACATTTAATTCAGTACATCAAAGCAGGTAAATGAACCACAACTACCATTGAAACAAGAGCAGTGTGTCATCAAACACAGATATTCAAGAATGAGTACAACAGCGCTCCGTACCTCAACAACACCTCTGAAATTATAGTCAGTGCAATGACTGTTACCTGGTAAAACCTTCTGGACTTCAAATCAGGTGCCATACATCCTTTATATGCATGTGTGTGTGTGAGAAAGAAGCAAGCAAGTGAATAAGAGAGGGAAAAAGAAAGAGAAACGAAACTGCAGCCTGGTTAAGGTGTAGACATCTAGAATCTCACTACTAATCAGATACACACACCAAACCACAACCGTTTCGTTTTTCAGTGTAAGTGTGTGTGAGCAGCTCAAAATTAAACCACAAGAAGTTATGTACAGAAAACACACTCACACAATGGGGAAGAAAACCTCACATATTTTCATATTCTGTACATATATTTTTTTTAATATTGCCAAATAGCTACTGGACAGTCTCACACACTTCATTACTGCCACCTAGCATGTTAACAAGCAACTTGCCCCGTGCTGAAGTAGGTGGCTGGAGTGTTGCTTATTTGCCAAGTAGGCCTGTAGTGATTATTTAATCTGATCATGCATGTTTAACTGCGATTATTGTGCACTTTTAATTCCAGTCCCATATTCCAATCCAACAGTTTAACAAATATTGAAGCACAAATGAGCATTTTTATGCTTCTATTTCTAGTGCAGTAGTGCATAACAAGGGCACATGAAAGTGAATATTTTAGGACAGAAATGTTATTATTGCATAAAATAACATTATATTCCGCTTTAAAACAGATGCATTTTGCACCTCAATCAATAAGACTTTTCACTGCCTCTGAGACTGTAATTTCTAACATGTCATGGCTTTGATATGATGCAATATATTCTAAATGTCAATACCACTGATTGATTGAGCTATTTGTCTTTGATCTGTATGGCTTTCACTCAACAGAGAGACAGATTCAACTGAAAATTGAGACAGTTACACACTGATGAACCAAAACGAGACCACAAGTTTCAGTGTGAGTGATTTGAAACGGGTGTGGGGAGGGAGTGTGTGCGCTCAAGGAATGTTCTTCCCCAATCAATGGCTCCTTTATATGCCAATATGTGACAACAGACTAAGAAAACAAATATCAGAGTGACCCTGTTAATTCACCAAGATCAAAACACAAGACTCTACCTTACATGCTGAGTCATCACGATCAAAAACAACACCACCTAAACAAGTAAACGGCAGCCACAAACAGGAAAAAATAGCTGTTTTTGCATTGTACTCTTTAACGGCTTCGACCTTGACTTCCTGGCTCTCTGTGAACATCTCTGTTCTGTTCGAGTGTATGTGTGCCAGTCATTGTGTGCGTGAGTGAGCTGAACAAATATTTCTGTGAAACATATATGGCTCTTTCAGAACAATACTGCATTGTAAAGCACTGGCTGTGTACAACTTGCATTACATGATAAAATCTAAAGCCTTGTGACTACCAAGATAATTACCGTCTAGTCAGTTTGCTGCATGCTGCACCTGTGAAGAGACCAACAGCGTGACTCACATTAACCCACCTCTTTAAGCCATGGTGGGAGAATATACCTACACATTTTCAAAGAATTTCATTTGAGTCAACTATGGGGTTTATTTGTAAAATTTGCGACAACTATCTGAGAACTGCACAGATGCAGATGTCAAATTTTGTATTGAGAAAGCTACAGGCATTTTCATGTGTCACAAACCCTTTTGACTCATCAAGGTGTGTGTGAGCATCTAGAAAAGAAAACGAGTTAATTCTATCCCGTGGCAGCAGGAAAAGGTGTCTGACACAGCGTACGCATACATACAGTGAGCTATACTGTGAATGTATGCAATGCTTGAAAGGTCATGACTATCATGTGTCTGAGGGTGGGGAAGCATCGTTTGAATGATGAGAAGCGAAAAAAAGTAACAGTTAGGGCAGTTACAACAGAAATGTGAAGTCAGAAGAGAAAGGGCATAACGTTTAACGTATACAGTTCACCTTTGAGTCACCTTTAGGACAGATGAGCCTACTTTAGGACACATTAAAGTGATAGTTAATGCAATAAATTAAAATTCTGTCATCATTTAATCAACTTCATGTCATGCTAAACTTGTGTTAAAAATGTTTAATCTATTTTTATACATAAAATTAAAAACGTAATGTCAAATGTTGTTTTGGGCCCCATTGATTTTCATTGTACGGACGAAAAAAATAAAATAATAATTTTTTTATGGGTCACAGAAGCAGGGGTGGGCGATATGACCAAAATCTTATCATAATATGAGTAATTTTATTTCATGGAACCA